ATCCTTATTTCCAGCACCTCCTTCAGTGTACTTTGCCTCATCTCTTTCAGCAGTTCAAAGTATTGGGTTACTTTGTAATCCCTTACTCTCCCAAGTCTTCTCAGAGGTAAATCATTTCTAATTCCCTTTATTTGTTCCTCATAAAAACAAAATACTTTTGTTGCTCTAATTTAATGAGGACTTAAACATGTTTTAGCAAGGAAAAAAAAGCATTATAGAAAGGGATCCCAAATCATCATCTCTTGCTCAATATTTCACTCTTGCTAGCTGATATCACAGTTTCATGGCAGACAGAGAAAGGCTGGGGGACAATCAGGTCTTCTTTTAGGTCCAATTCAGCAACTTACCAGCCCTACTGCTTTGGAGAATTTACTTGGCTTCTCTGAGCATCAAATTCTTCACAGAGCTGTGAAGATGGTAAAGCATTTAGCTTAGTGTCTGATACACTCAAGTACTCAATATGGCAGCCATTGGGAGGGTATTGTCTGATCTTCAAAATGTGCCAAGTCTAAAACCAACTTACTTCCCTTCAAGCAGAAGGCCTTTCATAGTTTTTCCATGGAAGTAGAATTGATGACACTTATTCTATCAAAAAATAAAGACTCTTTATTATTGTTGCTTCAATTGTCAAACACTTGGCCCCCTTTATTTTTGTACTCCTAAGAACAAAAATTTGACTTAAGATCCTGTGAAATAATATTGGAAATTTGAGAAAACTATCTAGACCCAAACAAAATTCATTCATTTAATGAACATTTAACAAAAAAATTTTTAAAACCCTGTATTCCCTCAAAAAGTTCATAGTAGAAAAAGAAATCAATAAGTGTGCATAATTAAATGTAGTTTGGTAAGTGGTTAAAAAAAGATATCCACAGGGTAGACAATAATGTGAGAAGAACCAGTTAGCATAGATTTGAGTCCTGTACATTTCTACATTGTTAACGAAATTGGGAACACACTTCTTGCACTAATCTAAATTAAGTGATGTCCCTTTAATATGGGTCATATACTAAATTAGAAACCAGGTTTTGTTAAATTTTTAAGACATGCAAAGATCTTAAAATACTCTCACATATGTTTAATCAGATTGGTGTTTACCAACTCATGCTTTAAAAAATTAAATAGGCAACTTAGAATAAAATGATTTGACAACTGACAAGATACATCAAATCTTTTCCTTTCTATTTTTATAACATATTCCTTATCATTATCTTTACAATAGCTATTTTTATATTCCTTCCACCAAAAAATGATTTTTATTCTATAATGTTAGATTTAAGGAATTGATCCTATAATTTTTATTTGCTATATATAAAATTGAGCTGCTCCAGAATTCTTCAGTCAAACACATACATGCTTAATGAATTAAACATATCTTGAAAATGGCACATAGTAATGCTATTTGTTAGCAACTTCGTAACTAACCTTAATCCTAATTTTATCCTGAGGAATACTCATGAAGAATGGAACAGAGAATTGAAATTACTTTCAAAGAAAATGTACACTTTCATGGAAAAATGTTAATCATTCTTGAGACAACAAAGATGCATATTATTTGATTTCATGGAAATATTCCTTCCTTCATCTTTCCTTTCTTTAATACAACTGTACAATAAAAATAATAATCCATTTTCTTATAATATTAATATGTTCCAAACAGTTTAAGTTTAGCTTTTTACCTATTTCTATCAGACTCAGATGATAAGAATAAAAACTAATCAATGAGAGAGACAGACCTTTAATATTCTCTGAAAAAGACAGCAATACACACATTGAGACTAAAAATAATGTCCACATCAAAGTTATTTTGACTATGGACCTTATGTATTATTGAACATAAAGCCTGTGGACAGTCACAAATACAAGCTGATCTGATTACTTTATAATCATTTGTATTTCATTCTCATGTCATTCTTGGAGAAGATGATGATTATTGGCAGGAGATTAAGCCAAAGACTCTGAAGCCAACACATTAAAATATGATACCTTACATCTGTCTCCTCTTCCCATAAATCCTTAGTTAAGGCTCAACTTAAAATGCTTCCTGCCTAAATGTTCGTAGGGAAAAACAGGATAGAATATGGAATAAGCTATAAATTTAACTTTTGATGAAGACAAAAATTACATAACAGAAGTGCCAGAAATCTCATGTCCCCTGCCAACAAAGTGTACTCTTTTCAAAATGATGAGCTTTATCCAGGGACAATTAAAGCTGAAACCAATCCAGGGATTCAATGATAGCTTAATGTCTCGTTGCAAGGGATGCCTGTATTTCAATTTGGAGAAAATCTCACTTTTAATAATAGCACTATTTTCAAAAAGTAAATCTGGTTTCTCATTAATACACTCTATGCTATAGAATAGAATCTAGCATAAGATAACCACTGTGAGTATAATCTGGTTGGGGAGAGAATTAACTTTCAAAATATTTAAGACTTGAATTATTTATGTTAACTTCTATCTTCAAGGCATTCCACGGTATGGATGCTACCCAAGTATTAAAATGAGTCTGCAGCATCACCCTACCCCTTAATTGTGGTGTTCTGTGTGATATAAAAGGGATCTCAGAAAAGCTTCTGTGGTTTAACATATTCCAAAATTTTGATTCTCCCTAAAATAGATGAGTTTCTGAAGATTATAGTCCTAATCTTCCCACTCAATTCAGAAATAAATCCCTTTGATTTCAATGGCATAAGATGAAGTCTATTGTATAAACAGATGGGTATAAAGGACTAAATTGCCAGATTTATTTTTAAAAAACTACAACACTGAAAGGAACAGCACAATATTATTCAAGAAATATTATTGAAAATGAAAGTAAGCTCATAAAATCTTTAGAAAAGACTTTGTCATTTAAAAATTCTTACAAATTTTAAAATTTTCTCATTGAGGAACATATAACATGGGAAAGCCAGCAGAAAATATGTAAAATTATTCAAAGGATTTAAATAAGAAAAAAAAATTCACATATCTTATGATCTTTGTATAAGTCAAATAGTTATCCAAAGACAATTTATATTGGCCAAGACACAATTACCAACACCAGTACCAATACAATAACCCATTTTTCCCTAGAATAAAATTATTTTAACTTATATATCATGATGTTTGCATTTTGTTGTATGAAAAATAAAAATAGTAATTATTTAGAATTAAAAGCACAGAACCTATCCCATATAAACTTGTATTAGGTAAAATATATATCAATACCACCATACACATTTTTGAAATGAGTTTGTAATAAAATTGGAAATTAAACTTATTATTCTTTATTTTTAATGGCTAATGAATAAATTATAAACTCTAAAATCTAGTTAAGTTAAAGAGAAGAGGGCTGGTGGACAGAGACTCTGGAACCAATACTGACATCCAGCCTTATGTCACAAAAGACTTTCAGGAAGAATTAGCTGTCATTTTTCTAAATATAAAATTAATATAGTAGCACCACGCAGTTCCAGGACAATATGCCTAGGTTAATGAGACAAGCATGAGGGAAGGACACCATGAGCCCAAAGGCTCCTGATCTCCTCTTTGCCTCACTATCAATGGACAGTGATTCTCTTGTATCTGTGAAGACAGACACTAGTGACCAGATTCCAGAAATGTCCATCCTAAACAGGCAGAGAGTCTATGGTGTGAGAACACTGCCATCATCACTCACCATGATGGCCCCAGAGAGTGGGATAAGGGGCAACTGAGAAAGTGTCACTTCCCACAATCTCCTGAAGCCTCCTAAAATCAGTGTTTTAGGCCCATCTCATCTTTTAATAAGCTATAAAAAAATAGAAATTCAGAACAGAAGCTAGAAAAAAAAGCTGCAGATTTCCCTGCAGCCTAGTTACCTTCCAGTTAAAAGCATTTAGATATATAGAACATAGATTCCAGACCACATGTGATAATTTGGAATTATTATCAGAGGTATGTACTATAAGAGATGCTGTCCATGTAATGCTTATCTATATACTACTTAGCATTTCCCATTAACAATTCCTACTTTTTAGAGAAGAGATCATACAAAAGTTTTATTCTCCAGATCGTGCTAAGGGAGAAAAATTGTAGATTTATAAACCAGTGATCAAAATACCACCTGGTTGACAAACATTAAGGTCTTGAAAAATGATAGTAACAGTATTTGAAACACTATAATTACACAGGAAAAAACGGGCTTAATGCACTAAGAGATAAATTGCCTAAATAAATCATCACAAAAATAATATATGAAACAAATAATTTCACAGACCTGGTAACACATTACACTTTGATTTGTGATCTGATTCTCCATTTGGCCTTCATTTGAGCATGTGCAATGCACTTATTAAACAAGAAGCTTTAATTTAATTTACCTACTGAAGTAACAACTGGTAATTTTATAATTAATGACTCTTAATAACAAAGCCAAAATTCCCTAGAGCCATGTGAAAGCCACTGGGTCATCTCAAACCTCCTTTCCATCCATGGAGGTAGGATCAGTGGCTGGCAAGAATCAATGAAAAGCTTTAGCCCATGATGGGATCTAGGGGACTCGGTTAGATGCTCAGGAATAATATCTGAGTATCAGTATATTATAGTGGCAGAAGCCACTGTTAATCACCAAGTCCTGACCAGTCAATGACCAAGGGGGACAGTTGCCCACATATCATCCCATTTCATTTCTTTTGATCAATATGGATAAACCTGGAAGTTCTTGAATATAACAATTATTTAAAACTCCAAAGGACAGGTATCTATCCAAACCTGAATCAAGCTTTTGAAGGATGCTTGACAGTGAACTAGACATTTCTAGGCTTATATCCAACCTGTAGTAATAAATCAATGATGTCTCTAATTATATTCATCAAAATGCTTTTATCACATCATCCTAAACTGAGAACAGCACTTTATTAATATTTCAGTAAAGGCAGAACTTTAAAACAGAAATCTCCCCAAAAGAAATTTCAGAAAACACAACAAAAATGACATTAGAAACATAAAATTCACTTTGCTTTTGAGCCAACACTGACCTTCTGTTCCAAAAGCAATGTGTTTGTAGGGATTGCTGCAAAAGCCTTGTAGCTTGACTTGGTCTTGTATTGCTAGAATGGGTAACCAGAAAGCAAGAGTAGAGATGAAAAGGATGAAGAATAACGACATAATTTTAGACAGTTTTACTAAGTTAAATGACATGTTATCAAATGAAAAAAAGAGTTATTATGCTGAACAACTTGCTTCTGACAGAAAAAAATTAGCTTATCATGTTAATATTTTATTAGAGCAAGAAGCAAAGAAATACTACAGTAAAATATCAGCCTAGAGATTATAGGCAATTATATGCTATTCTGTTTCAAAACTTAAAAACATCCATTTCACCAAATTATATATAAGTTTCTCATTAGCAGCACTCCTTCAGAGTAGCACAATTTTATGCATGAGTGTGTGTGGGGGGGGGGGCTTCTGCTCAATCCTCAAAGGAATGTTTCTTTTTTATAGTGCCATAATTAACAAATATTATGCATATAAATTTAATTGAGCTCTTGATACATTCTCTTGCATCATGCACAAAAGCAAAAATCAGAATGCATAAAATTTAGTAGCCAATCTTAACAAGCAGCAATGTAGTCAATAATTTGAATATAAATGATATCAGCAATTTAACTCCATATGGAAAAACAAGCAATATAAGCTCTTGATCTTAAACTCATTTTTTTAGCCTCATCATACTCTCCCACACTTTCTAGTACAGTGAAAAACAGATGATAAAAATTTTCTGAGTTTTAAGTACAACTCAGAGTAATATACTTAAATTTTGTGGAGTATTTAGAGGAGAGGGTGAGCATGAGGATGTTGTAGAAATCAGGATAAAATGCATAATCCAAAACCCTCTCGTTTTTTTTGGTTTTTTTTTTTGTTTTTTTTTGCAATCAGATCATGTGGGTTGTGTTTATTCAATGTACTGCTTACACAGTCATTGCTCACAAAAGAGACATTCTCAAAGCAAGAGTGAACATCTCCTATCCCGAAAACAAAATGAAATAAATGAACAAACAAACAAAACTGCACTTGACTACAAAACTACAGCAGGATATTTTCTCTGTGCTGAAATGACTGAGTCAAAGAACGTGGGCATTTGAGAAGCATCCTCCCTTCCTTAGATTTGCCTAATCAAGAAAGCCTCAAAAGCCCAGCTTTGATACTGCTCTAGATCTCAGCTGTTTAACTAAAGTCCAAGGCTCCTATCATTTCAAATTCCCTTGGCTCAGGCAGCTTTTTTAGTGGCCCAGAGACAGTAGGAAATTGGCATAGAGCTCTAGGCTGTCTCAATCCCTTGGAAAGCAAACCAAAAGGTCTGCAGAAGAAGACAGGGTAATCAAATAGAACTAAACCTTGGGTTTTAGAGATGTAATAAAGTAAACTTTATTAAACTGGTATGATAAAGGTAAGAGGTTGGCAGGCTGGAGTAGTGAGGAATCAAAGTGCCAGACCTAGAAGAAAGTCATTGTCTGGCTAAAAGCAGAACACATTCTCTCTTTTTATTTTTTATCTTTATTTTCCTCTCAGTCTAGTGTGTTACAGAGAATAAAAAGAAATTAGCAACCTGAGGCTTGGATGCCAGCAGGTGACACAGAAAGCCACCATAGCCAGACAATCACACCCATCCACAAAACACAGGCTCACTTATACACATTCACACTCATACACACAAACATATACATATATTCACATGCGAACATACAAATTCACGTGTACTCACATATGGACATACACACGTATACACACACACTCATACACAAGCACATACTCAGAAAAGTATGCACAAGATCTCAGAAACTACATCCTTTTTTCCAAAAAAAAAAAAATATATATATATATATTCTGAATGTTTACTTATCTTCCACTTTCTCTCCTCCACATAGCTCTTCTCCCTCATAAGAAGCAGCTGTGTGGCCTTTTACAGGTCTCTCAACTCCTGTGGGTCCTGCACTCCCATCTCTACATGAGAGGCAATTAGTGCAAGATATTTCAGGTCCCTCAAGCCCTAGGTTCCTACATTGACTCTGTACCGCTGTGGTCTCCAGACAACAACGTATTTAGATAAAGATTGAAATTGAAATGCCATCTCTTTACGGCCCATAGGAGGTGCCAATTATTTCTAAACAAATAACATACATTGACCCATTTAATTTTATAAATGCCCTATAACTAAACTATATACACTCTTGCCTCTCATTTCAGGATGGGTAATCATTTTAAAATATTTCTTCTCCTATCCTCAATTTCTCTAAAGAATATAGCTGTAAAATCTGTACAGAGAGATATCTTGTTATTGCACACATGATATCATGGAATCTAACATTCAGAAGAGATATTGAAAGTCATCTGGTTCAACCCCTTGATCCAAGACATGAATCTCTATGGTCAGTAGCCACATGAACACTCGCCTACCTCCCAAAGCAGTACATTCAGGTCTAATTGTTAGAACTGGTACAAAATTCTCCCTTATATTGAGCCAAAATATGCTTCCTGTTAACTTACCCAATTGGTCTCTCTGCCCCTTGAAATCATGACTCAAGCTAAGAGCTCTCTTCTGTGTGATAGTTATACTGCTGCCTTCACCAACTTCCTAATGCCCAAGTGAAGAATTCCACTACCCTCATCACTCTCCTTTACATTTTGAAAAGGTGTCTGTTGAACTAGATGTGTTTTTAATACAAAGTAGAACATAATCATCACCTCCATAATATTGACAATAAACTCATTTAATGCAATGAAGGTGATAATAATCGGGATGATCTCCTTAGTTTTTATGGAGAGTTTAAAGGAGAGTAGCTCAGGGCCATTTCATATTGCTGAATCACACTGAGTATGCTATCACCTAAAATTCTTAATCTTTTCATCTTTTTGTAAACATTTCCTGATTAACTCCATCCTGTATTTATGCACTTTTTTCCTAGACCCAAAATAGGACTTTAGGTATTATCTCTGTCCAATCTCATCTGATTAGATTTGGTTTGTCACTGTAAACTATTAAGATAAGAATGTTTATAGTATTTCATGAACCATTTTGTTAGGTATGTCATTTTAATCTTCATTCAAATTATATACTAAGGACAGAGAATTCTTATCACTGGATTCTCCCAACATGGTAGACATTAATCCATCCTGTAAATCTATTTTAATATGGCAGTCAACTAATGGATTTATTCAAAAAATATTTATTGAATATCCACTAGATGACATGCAGTACTCCTCAAGACTCTAAGACAGGGGTCCTCAAACTTTTTAAACAAGGGGCCAGTTCACTGTCCCTCAGACCATTGGAGGGCCGGACTATAGTTTAAAAAAACTATGAACAAATTCCTATGCACACTGCACATATCTTATTTTGAGGTAAAAAAACAAATGGCAAAAACACCCGCATGTGGCCCGCAGGCCGTAGTTTGAGGACGCTTGCTCTAAGATGTACATACCCTTTCCTTTTCAGTCTAAAAATCATACTCATTGCCACAAAAGACACTTTGGGGCCTGCTGTTTTTCCTCTAGGTTCTCTTAACAATATACACTCAATCCAAATATAAAAAATTGTATTCTAATTGGGAACATATTTCATCTTCAGCATTCCAAGGCTTCCAGGTGCTAAACCAAGTACGTCAGTTTTCCTTTTTGGCACAAAATTATGAATTGTTCTAGTCAAGATAATTCTATGTAACTTGAATTGTAGCTTGTGATATTACAGGTTAGAATCACCACTAGCTAATCATAGAAGGTAAAAATGGCCAGCCTAAACTTGAATCTGGCAAATTATATCTCCTCAATTTGTAATCTATGCTTTCAGTTTACATTCAATAAATATTTCTTAAATATCCACTAGCTGATGCAGGGCAAAGTTTGAATTTAGAAAAGAAAATGGCATTTCTATACTTAAGTTTTCCAGAGCTAATCCTATTTACAAGCAGTGCTTCTTACTACAATTTAAATTCTGTGTTTGAAGGTGAGGATAGCAGCAATACAGTCTGCCTTTTCAGAAAATATTTTCTACCACTATCCTACCCCCTATTGCTGATGCCTAAAATGCCACCACAGGCACCAATAATAAAGACCCAGGATGTTTCAAAATGAACAATGTTAGGTGCCTTGAGAATTGGGGATTTAGACTCATTCACCTCACTTTAAGTGCAGGTAAATGAAAGAACCTCCGATTACATAAACAATAAGATGAGGAAACCCTAAGGAAGAGCCTTCCTACCACCGTGGTCAACTTCTTCTGGAAGCATCCATGAGAGCATCACTCTAAAGGTGTGCTTCCTGCTCCTCAATGACCATGTCTGCACTACCGGAGTCAGAATACCAGCCCTCAGTTGAAAGCCCAAGCCCAGCCCTGATCCAATCCATGGAAGATCACCCAGACACCTCCCTTACATCCGGAGTACTGGCAGAGCACAGCCTATAATGGTTTTGATAATGGAATGATTGGATGTGGGGATAAAACTAACTGTCAAAGACTGGCTATAGACCATGGCCTGGCAAAACAGATGGGAGAGTTAGCTACTGAGAAAACTTCCCTGGACAACACCCTTCCTGGGACCCCTCTCCACCCTGATTTATCTGCTTGTGTTTCTAGCACCCCAAAATGCATATTTATTCCATTATATTATAATATTTTGCTAGCCCTATCCTCCTGCTAAGTCTTTTAGAGGAGAGATTTTATATTATTTCTCCTTTTATTTTCAACACTTAATGCCAATCCAGCAGAGAAGAGGTGTCCAGCAAACATTTGTTGACTTGAATTGAAATATTTAATTGAAGATTACAATAAGATTCAGAGGACATTTAAAAAAACCACAATTTTTAGTTCCTCATCTATGGTTCCAGTCCTAGACAAGCCTAGATGATTTAGAGACCCTCTTCTCCCTCATCCAACATTCAAGCATACCCTGAGGGCATTTTTAACACAGTAAGTTTCTGAAGTGATCTTCCTTCATGCTGTGAACTTGCAAGATTTGAATTCCTGACCTTGATTTCCTGGTTGTTGGTTTTTTTTTTTTTTCCTTTGAAGAATCTCTTGTAAATTAAACTACACAACCCGGGCATTCAAGTG